CCCTGCTTGTGTTCCCTCTCTCGCGGTCTCTCTCTCTCAAATAAATAAAATCTTTAAAAAAAAAATGCATCTGTAAAAATTTTCAAGAAATGTTCAGCCTCATTTATAAATATTTACGAAACAGGGGTGCCTGGGTGGCTCAGTTGGTTAAGTGCCTGCCTTTGGCTTAGGTGATGATCCTGGAGTCCCAGGATCGAGTCCCGCGTCGGGCCCCCTGCTCAGCGGGGAGTCTGCTTCTCCCTCTGACACTCCCCGCCTCTCATGCTCTCTCTCTGTCTCATTCTTTCTCTCTCAAATAAATAAATAAAATCTTTAAATATTTACAAAACAAAGCAAATGTAAGGTACCAGTTTGCACTTATTAATTAGAAAAAAGCAAATTAAAATTATGAGACCCAGACCTAGTAAACTGCCAAAAAGCAGATACATTTATTTATTTTTGTTGACACTATAAATTACTAAACTCTTTTTAGAGTGTTGTTTATTCAACCTTTATCCAGCAAATAATAAATACCCAACATACACCTGTCATTGTACAGGTAAGAAATTGTTATCAGAGAAATAAAAAGAAATCATACTCTTCAACCTGGTAACTCTCTACTTCTACAATGATTGTCTTTCAAGTTCCCTGAAAGAAGTCAAATATCTAGCAGGTGGGAAATGCTAAAATAAAATATGGTATATTACATCTAGTAAAACCATAATGCCATCAAAATGATATGTAGACTATGTAGGTAAATGGACATTTTTATTCAAATTTAAATAGTGATAAGGAAAAAATAATAGTATGCCAAAAATATGTAACCTAGTATCGCTTATGGAGAATAATCCAACCATGAAAAAACTGTATGTGTAAGATAATAAATATGCTTTTCATTTCTATTCTTGATCATTGCTGTTTGTTTCTAATTCTCATTTCTAACCATTTGTAGCCACAAAAATAAGTTAAATAAGTTAATAAGCTAAATGTTAGCTAAGACTTTTTGTATCAAATTAAAGAGTCTTGATGCTTTAGATGTCAGATGGTTTAAAATATTTAATGGAAATATTTCTTTCTTTCAGATTAACATTGATGGGCAGGATATTAGGACCTTTAATGTAAGGTATCTCAGGGAAATCATTGGAGTGGTGAGTCAGGAGCCAGTGTTATTTTCTACCACAATTGCTGAAAATATTCGTTATGGCCGTGAAAACGTCACCATGGATGAGATAGAGAAAGCTGTCAAAGAGGCCAATGCCTATGACTTTATCATGAAACTACCACAGGTAAGGGCTCTGTTAATGTAGTTGCCCTTGGAATTTGAATTTGACTTCATGCGAGCGAGTTCTTTCTTCAAAGTTTAAGCTAAGAATGTTTGAGATGCAAGATTGTTCAACTTTCCTTAGGCAAAGTCCCTTGCATTATTCAGTTGGAGCTGTAAGGAGTTCGGCCTGGTACAGGAGTCCTATAAAATTTTATGCAGAGTATATGGTAGTAGTTTTTTAGAATTCAGTATTCATTGATTTTATTATAATTTAGGACTCATTACCATAGTCAAAATGAAGCTCCACGTCATCTTCATGAATTTCTAGACTCCAGAGCCTTTTCTGTTTAAACTATATCAAGCGTTCCTCCACGTTTTCTGTGTTGTAGAAGTTCGACACCCTGGTTGGAGACAGAGGGGCCCAGCTGAGTGGTGGACAGAAGCAGAGGATCGCCATCGCTCGGGCCCTGGTTCGCAACCCCAAGATCCTCCTGCTGGACGAGGCCACGTCAGCCCTGGACACTGAGAGCGAAGCAGAGGTACAGGCGGCCCTGGATAAGGTCAGTCAACCCGAAACACCTGAAGGACCAGCACACTGAAGCTTTATGGGAAATTCTTGCTGATGCTTTGTGCCTCTAGATCGAAAAACATAAACATGAGAGCAAGTGAAGCTCTCTCCTGGGGCTTTATTGATTTCCCTTTTCTGTCAGGTCACGAGGCAAAGAGGGGTAGATGGCCCATTAACCAGCTTGCTCTGACAAAAGTGCACGGGGCTCAAATCAGGCATATGCAGTGAGCCACTTAGTGCCGTTTACTTCTTGCTCAGAGGCTGTTGCTTTGATCAAGAGTAGTCATGTCAAAAAAAAAAAAGAAAAAAGTCGTGTTAGAATGTCCAAAGAAAAATCTGGTTACCTAGACACCGGTCCGATGGAAAAACAGCTCAAAATACTTGCCTTATTCTGTAGGTAGGCAGTACCATTATCTTTATTCATGAAGGCGAAAGGAAGGCAAAAGGAAGTAAAGTTCACTTTGTGTGTTTGCCTAAGCACGTAAATAAGTGACACATTTCAAGGATGTGAGCTCACATGCCCAACTCTGGTATTTCTGAATCTCTCACTGTTGGTTTTCAAAGCTGAAGCTTCACAGGAAGAACCTTGTGTTGGGACAGTCTTGCGGTCACTGCTGATGTCATCTGTGCTAATGACCCAGGATAATAACCGGAGTCAGAGACACGGGATCAATGGGCCGCAAAACCAGAAATATCACACGTGTATTTGGTTTCAGAAAGCTTAGTAATCAAGTGTGCCAGTGACTTCATGGCTTCTATCCAAACTACCTCTTGCAATTTTAGGGATAAGCTGTATGAATCTTATTTTTTCAGGGAAACTTACACCTGAATCCTAAGTACACACTCTGTGCTATAAACTGTAGTTAGTCAATGCTTCACGGTTCATCAGATGAACATTTTGGCTTATTTTATATAATTTAATCTAATAATGATTAATGAGATGATAGTTATTACTCACAAATTCTTGCACCGAATTATATTGCTTTCATGTATGTTAAGTCTCAATATTAAGGAACCAAAATATATACACAGGAAACTGGCATTTGGTTGGTTAATCAGGCATGACTTAAAGCAGGAAATTATTTTATTAAATGCATAAATTAAAACATAAAAACTAACTTAAATGGGGATTCATATGTTGACATAGACTTTTTTAGGAGATGTCAGGTAGGATAAGAAAGATATTAATGGGGGGAAGGCCCATTCAGGTCCCATTTAGGTCCCTAAAACCTAGGTCCCAATACTTTCTAGGATACAAATATTCAATATATTAGCCCTTTACATGCTAAAAGAACAGAATTACTGGACATGTTATTTTTTGTGATATGGATCCTATCAGAAAAATTGTAGTCTTGCAAGTTTTAATTCATACTTAGACAAGTTACTTCATTCAATTTTAGCAATTGGGGTTCTCTAGGATTATGACCCACTCCCCAGTTGATAAACCTTTAGGTTTTAAAAATAAAAATAGCTGATGAATCACCCATAATTTTTTTTTAAGAAAAGCCATCAGCAGCTTGGAGAGGGGTTAAGAGCATAGACTTTGGTGCTGGACAGCCTGAGGCTAGAGTCCTGGCTCTGTCCCTTTCTAGCTGCACGATCTTGGGCAAATGAACCTCTCTCTAAGCCTGAGATCCTGCATAAGTAACTGGGGAGAGGGGGAGAAATAGTGTCGTAGGATGGTTGAAAAGATTAAATGTGTACTACATGTAAAGTTATTAGCACATGCCTTGCACATTGGGGAACACCGATGCTATTATTATGGTGACTGCCATTGCCATGATTATTAATTGTACTAATTGCAGAATTGGTTACCTATTGCTGCATAACAAACCATCCCAAATTCGGATTTAAAACAATAATTCTGTGGATTGACTGGGTGGATCTTCTGCTGTTTTCACCTGAGCATATGGATGCTTTTACCTGGAGGGCTGACTTAGCTAAAATAGTCCAAGATGGCCTTACTCCCATGCTGACTGTTGACTGGGCATCTCATGTGGATTCTCATACTCAAACTCATACAATAGGCTAGTGTGGCTGCCTTCCATGGCCTTCTCAGGACTTTGTCCCAGAGGCAGAAGCTAGAAGACATCTAGAGGCTTAGACTCCAGAACTCACACAGTGTCACTTTCATCACATTCTGTTGGTCCCAGCAAGCCACAAGGCAGCCCAGACTGAAGGAGTGAGGAGACAGAGTCCACCTCTTGATGGGTGAGCTGTAAAGTGTCTGTGACCATGTTTAACCTTCCACAACACACTCTCTCCCACAATTACTCACCCTTCTCCCATGTGCAAGATAAATTCACCTCTTCTCAATACCCTCAAAATTTTCATGCAGCTATGACATCAGGTTCAAAGTCCAGTACCTGAAGATCTGTATGAGGTCCAGATATGGATTGATTCTTCATGTTATGCTCATCTTGGTCCAGAGATCTGTGAACTCAAGAGACAAGTTGTCTTCCACACACACCCCCAACATGCAATGTTGATGCAAGAACAGGATAATAATAGTCACTCCCATTCAAAAATTAGAACAGGAAGCACATAGCAGTTACTGGTCCAGAGCAATTCTGAAGTGCAGTCAGGTGCATGTAGCCAGTTACCCCACTGCTCCAGGGAAAGGGAACATTCCTTGATTAAGGCCCAGTACCACCTCCAACAGTGGAGTGGTCTCCTTGGGTTTGGGCTCCACCCCCTGGGCCCTTAGATCCTCTCTCTGGGAGGTCTTTCCTTTGCAATAAGAAATGGCCTGTGTCTGCAGCTGAGTAGCTTTCTCAGCATGCTTTCTGTCCATAGAAATTTGGGACCTGCAGGCCTCTTTACATTTTGAATTTTCTCAGTCTCTTTCAGTTCAAGGTGGTAGATATTCTTAAAGACTGTGAGTTTGTATGGAATCCGACCATGGCTCACTCAAGCCCCAAAAGCTACATCTCTAAGTTTTTTCCAAAATGAACCTCTCTCTACTTTGGGCCACACGTCAAGCTCCCATGAGAAAACCCTTACTTAAGAGTCTCCAAAGCCCTTTTATGTAGCTGTGGGTGTCTACGAGAATCTGCCTTAAATGTCTCAGAGATTTTAACCAAAAAGTCTTCTACTCACACACTGATTTAATCTTTGGCTTCACTTCACTGGATGACTGACAGTTCATTCCCCAACCAAGCAGGTAGTGGGTCTTCTGTGTTTCCTCTAGATTCACCTTGCAAGCCAAATAGCTCCTTCTTAAGCTCACCATTCTCTTCCCGTACTTTGAAACATAGAGCCAGTGGAATCGCATTGGCACTTTAAACATTCTATTTAGAGATCTCTGGAATCTTCTTAGCCTGATGTACAAGTTCAGTAGATTAAATACCTTTTCTTTCAAGTCACTGCAGGACACATTTTTTCCCCAGGTATTCCAAGGTTATATAATGCAGGCAACCCTCTTTCCAAGCACCAGGAGCAATGTCCTTACTTTTCTTCCAGTCTTCACTAACAAGATTTCTGCATCAGCTGCTTTAAGTCAAAACTTGGTGAGACGGCTGGTGTTGTTCCTCTGTTGGTTTGCCTAGTCTCCCTTAGGCAGCTACTTTCAGCTCAGGGTCCACTGGGCTGGAACGTTCAGGATGGCCTCACTCTTGGGCCCGGCAGTTGGTAATGGCTGTTGCCTGAGGAAGCTCAGTTCTGCCCATGAGGCTTCTCATCTTCCAGTAGATTAGACAAGCTTCCTTTTACTGTGATTTCAAGGTAGCAAACTCACAAATATAAGGCCTCTTGAAGCCCAGGTTCTGGAAATTGCCAAGTGTCAATTCCTTCACATTCTTTTGATCAGAACAAGTCACAGGACCTGCCCAGATCTGAGGAGTTGGAGAAATAGACTCCACCTCTGGATGGGAGTGTTTGTGGCCATGTTTAATTTACCATGGTTGCTATGACTACTTTATAATCTACCTAATCGACTCCATACTTTGCAAGATAACTAAGCTGATCTATTTTGCAGACAATAAATCATATCTTTAAAAGGGAAATCCTTCATTACTGCACTTCCCTCAATGATACTAGTCAGTCACTTGGGCCAGTCATTCTAAGGTACAAACTAACTATATTTTAACAATGATCAGTTGAATTTTGTAATTTATTATTTTTCCTCTGAGAGGCATAAGGATATAGTGCTATTACATCTGTTGTTCTTCCCTGATTACCTATCCTGTAAGAATATTTTTCTTTTGTGTATCCTTTATACATTTATCAATACCTCATGTGTGACACCAACTTGTCGTAGTTATTTATTTACTTATGTGCCTCCTCTCTCCTAGAAAGAATAAATCCTCTAAGAGGCAGAATTAATAAATGGTTCATGTTTATATCTTTTTTTTAAGTAAGCTCTATGTCCAACGTGGGACTTCAACTTAGGACCCTGAGATCAAGGGTCAGGTCCTCTACCAACTGAGCCAGCCAGGTGCCCCTGTGTTTATATCTTTTTTTAACACTTAATCAGTGCCTAGCACGTAGTAGATTCTAAATAAATATTTACTGAATTGATTACCATGGTCCAGCTCATTGAAATAATACATGTCTATGTAAAAAAAAAAAAATTTTTAAGGACCATATCAGCTGTTGACTCAATAGATAGCAAATATTTACCAAAACAAACAATAGGTTTTTCCATATAAGATCTTAAAAAATACAAATGCAGATTTGTTATTTTTATTTTTAAAAGAAAGTCAATAATCAAAAAGTCTCATACCTACATGACTCTCCTACTCACAGTGTTACCATACTGGAGGGGCAAGAGAAAAATAAAACTAGCCTCCATGTAATTTTATCAAATGATTCCAAAGGTTTCATTTTATACTCCCCCTTGCCCCTTTCCCTCAGAGGTTCCAGAAAGGCTAATGGATTAGTACTCCCTTTGTTTGGACCTGCCTTTTATCCCTGCACATCCAACATTTGCAGAAGATCCACATTTCTTAACAGTTGATGTCCTTGAATCTAGGATATTTATTTGCCAATATTTTTTCATCATTGGAACATTGGCGAGTTCTGAAAAAAACAAAAAAAAAAAACAAAAAAAACCTCTTCGTTTCAAATATCTACTCTTGCCAGAATTTCTTGGTCAAGGGTGACAGTTGCTAACTTTTAAATTCACCAATACATCCTTTGTTTCTCCTGCACACCAATCATTTACTCACAAGTCTAACTGTAATTCCTCTGGGCTTTTTTTTAATGTTGATGTAGTATCAACCTATGATTATCATAATGTTAATATAGTCACTGTTAACAATTTACTCATCACTATTAGTATCACGAGTATGATTAGAATGATCAAATTATTTCCTACGTGCCTTACCGTACATGGACCAAGCCATGCAGCTTTCACATCGGTGGGTATTTATGAATGCTTCCTTGGGGCCTGGGTATTAAAAATTGAAAGTCTGAAATGTTATCCAATAGAGCAATGCTCTAGTCTCTGTCTTTTTCTGTGGTTTAACTCTTTTATACTTATTTAAACACAGTTGATGATGGTAATGTTAGTGTAAGGACTGACGGAGAAAGACCACATTATTTTTTTCCAAGTCGCTACACAGTTGGCTCCATACCACTTACTGTACAGTCTACCCTTTTCCCTACTGGTAGACAATGCCATATTTATCATATACTAATTCTTAAATGTTTTATGTCTATTTCTGGACTCTCTATTTTAGTTTATTGATCAAGTTGCCTATTCATTGATAGCTTCCCCTGGATTTTACTATTGTAATTCCTATTTTGAGTAGCATTTTATGTGTAATATCTGTTGGAGGTTTTCCCCTCTCGCTAACTTCTTTCTCAGAAATTTCATGGCTGCTCTTTGTTAAAAAAAAAAAAATTGGGATATAATTCATATACTGTGAAGTTCACCCTTTTGAAATGTACAATTCACTGATTTTTAGTATATTCACAAGATTTTGCAACAATTACTGCTGTCTAATTGCAGAAGATTTTCATCATTCCCAAAGGAAACCTTGTACCCATTATCAGGTCACTCCCCATTCCATGCTCATCCCAGCCCTTGACAATCACTAATCTACCTTCTGTCTCTATGGGTTTGCCTATTTTGGAAATTTCATATAAATGGAATCATACAATGCATGGTCTTCTGTAACCGGTTTCTTTCATTTAGTGTAATGTTTTCAAAGTCCATCCATATTCAAGCATGCATGAGAATGTCATTCCTTTTTATTCCATTGCATGGATGTACTTCATTTTGTTTAATCCCTTGATTAACTGATGAACATGTGGATTGTTCCCACTTTTTGGCTATTATGAATCCTAGCTGTCATTTTTAATTTGCATTTTTAACTGCTTAGGTGAATTAAGCTCTCCTCTAATAACCATCCTAATGACATTGTTTTATTGCCTTGGAATAGGAGTGCTCTTAAGAAGCTATAGCCTAAGAGAGCCATTGAGTATCAAAAAGAATAACCTTTATTAATGGTATGAATAATATGATGAGCATTTTCCAGGGTTTAAATGCCCATTGATAAACCCACCAAGCTAACATGTGAGTTCACAGAACTACTTAACGGGGTGATTTGTAGATTTTAGCAGGCATAAAACTCACCTGGGGCACTTGTTAAAAAACAAACGTATTGGCCCCACTCCAGAGATAGTGATGCAGATGGTCCCTGAACTAATATTTAAACCATCCTGATCCCCAAGTACATTTTCATCTGAACTGCCTGTGTGCAGCCCATCAGAATTACAGCTGAAATCAGGCTCCTCCAAAGAAACCCTACAGGAGTGCCCCTGAGAAGGCTGCACTTGACAACAATTCTGCTAACAGGTCACTTCTGAAGCTCTAACCTGCCATATAACTGGCAAGGAAGGCTCAGACAAGTATGAAAACACTAGAGAAGGGTCAGACCTTCTCTTGGTTTTCTTGCGTAAGCCTCCACCACCGTGAGCCTCCCAAATTATCCATCCTCGTACTGGAGAGGTTGGCCTCCTTTCTGGTCCAGAACTCAAGCCTCACCTTAGCCTTCCATAGATGAGGGTCCCTGTCCCACAGGGGAAGCTGCTCTCATCAGCTGCAAACACGTGCATCCACGTGCTGACCCATGCATGCACCTAGTAACCCTGCTGCATCTCATCCGTCCTCCGTTCAGGCCAGAGAAGGCCGGACCACCATTGTGATAGCCCATCGACTGTCCACTATCCGAAACGCAGACGTAATCGCCGGGTTTGAGGATGGTGTCATTGTGGAGCAAGGAAGCCACCGGGAGCTGATGAAGAAGGAAGGCGTGTACTTCAGGCTTGTTAACATGCAGGTATGTGCGCCCCAGGATTTTGTTTTCGGCTTCTCAGTAGAGTGTTCTTTATATTATTAAAACATCAGGCAGCTAATGCCATGCTGAGAAATAGAAAACTTCAGGAAGATACCAAAAATGTGCATCTGAGACTTGAATTCAGAATCAGCCAAAGAATCCTGAAAGAGAGAAAAGTGAGGGAGGAGGGAAGTAAAGGAAGACGTCAAAAACATTTCGAATTTATTCCTCAGGACAGAGATCCTTAATTGCCCCGAGGAATGTGTTCAAGCTAGCAGGTCCTTTCCACCATGAGATTAAGGACCATCAGAGAAGTGGCAGGAGGAAGAGGGCAATGCCAGGATCTCCAGCAGTTGGAGGAGGTCCTGTGTGATTTTAAAACGCTTCTTGGATGATCCTAACAAAACCAGCAATAAGAGTCATGACTTTAGGAAGTGAATAGTGTGGTCTTTTTAAAAAAATCATTCACTCTAGTTCCTAAAACAGGTACTATTGATAATTATTGGTTTGTATTACTATTGTATAATGCTTACTTGTGCAACTTTACAGAATAATTAACCTACAAATATTTTTTCTATAAACATGATTCTTATATCAAAGCAAATGTATATATATCTATAAATATAACTATTATGTACATGGGTATTTTGTTTTTTTCTTAACATTTCAGATATATCATCCAGATGTTAACATTTTATTTCATTTTCTAAAAGATTTATTTATTTATTTATTTGATAGAGACAGCAAGAGAGGGAACATAAGCAGGGGGAGTGGGAGAGGGAGAAGCAGGCTTCCCGCTGAGCAGGGAGCCCAATGTGGGGCTCGATCCCAGGACCTTGAGATCATGACCTGAGCCAAAGGCAGATGCTTAACGACTGAGCCACCCAGGCGCCCCAGATGGTAACATTTTAATGGGTACTCAGCAGTCCATTATATTAATGTGTAATAAATTGCTTAGTCATTTCTCTAAAGTTGGACACTTGGTTTATTTCCAGTATTTCTCTAAGATTTTATTTATTTATTTGAGGGAGAGAGAGAGAAAGTGTGCATGTGCAAGCACGAGCGTGTGTGGGGGGGGACAAAGGAAGGGGCAGAGAATCTCCAGCAGACTCCCCGCTGAGCACAGAGCCCCACGCGGGCTCAATCTCACGACCCTGAGATCATGACCTGAGCTGAAATCAAGGGTCATACACTTAACTGAGCCAACCAGGCACCCCTATTCCTCTATTCTAAATATGTTTCCTCTGCTATCCAAAAGTAGAATGCTCCTATAAAACCTTTCATAAGCCAAAATGGTGTAAAGCAAAGAAGAAATTACCATTAATTTACATGGAAAAAAACTGTGAGCATTCCCAGACCCAAAAAATAACCTCTTTTGGGCTTTTCTGATACCTTAGGACAGATTTTGCTAACAGGTACACAAAACAAATCGACATAAAGCACAGAGGCTCAGAGACACAGCGCAAAGCTCTGGCCACCAGGTGCTGAGATGCTGAGTGTCGTCTGGGAAGGAGCTTGGCCCTCTCTGGCGGCCGAACCAAGGCTGAAAGCTATTTTCACTCTTTGCCTTTTTTTCATAAGACCGAAAATCCTCTTCAGATTTCTTTTTGTTAGTGAAAATAGGTACTAATGTAGGTTTTTCGTAAAAGTGAAGCTGCATAACGTGAACTTTCAAGAAAATCAGGGAATACTTCTATTACCCCTTGGAAACGTGGTTCCAAAAAAGTTGAGTCAAAACTTGGCTTTGTTTTCTGACAAGTAACTTCTCCAAGCCTTAGTGTCCACATTTAAAACACTAAATCTACCATGCAAGCTTGTTATAAGGTGAAGAAATAAGCATCTGAATATGCTTTAAAAAAAAAAACACTTTAAAAGTGTTAATTTTATGGTATGTGAAATGTTTTAATAAACTTATTTTTTTTTAAAAAAAGCATCCGACACAAAATAGATGCATGATAAATAATTAGTTACTGAAATTTTCAAAGTCCCCAAAGTGAAACTACCACATGAAACGATGGAAAATCTTGTAACTCTTGCTTCAATTTACCAGAGAATGTTTTCCAGGAGGAGGGAAGTAATTATAGTGTTTTTACTAATTGCTTCTATATGGCCTAGCCATCACAGGGTCTTTATCATTTCCCTCGTTTAAAAAAATAAGTATAATGTTCCTTTACTGCAGTTTTAGTTTTCATTTTATTAATGGTTCCTACGGCTGCGTGGTTTTGCCTATGAAGACCTGTTCGATCCTCCAATGAGGTAACCATATTCTCTCCTGCCTGGCAGCTTCCGTGCCCCGTAAAGAATGACCTTCCATTCCCACGGGCACTTAGGCTGGGAGGCCGCCAAGGGGGATAAGGACAGCTCTGACCTTCTATTTCGTATTCCATAGCCTTTCTTTCCTAGGGAAGGTCGTTCAATTGAAGATTGAACAGTGTCCTGTGATAGATGAGGCTTGTCACCAACTAAGCCGTGGTTTCAGCAAGTCCTCGCTTGTTCAGCTCAAGATGAGCACTCATGTTTCCACCAGCTCTGGCAAATTCTATGATTCTTAGTCCCCTTGAACTTCTCCACCTTGGCACTCATATTTCCCACTTCTGGGTTGTTGGTGCTGGTGCAGAGTTGGAGGAAAGAGCCGCAGGGAGCCTGGGTGTTCACTAAATGCTCATGCCAATGTGCTGCTTTTTCTTCCAGTTCCAAAGACCAACCAACCTAGAGTCAAAAAACCTTGTCTCACTTTTGTTTCCAAGTAGAAAGGTCCTTGCTTTTTCATTAGGTAGACTGGTGGCTCTTGGTTGTTGCTTTCAAATGTATTTTAATTTTTTCCTGATTATAAATGTCAGGCATTCTTATTTTTAAAAATCCAAGCATTAAAAAAAAAAAAACAAAACTCAAACATGACTATCTTAGAAATTTGAGAGATTCTCATAATCCAAACCCCTGTTGATAGGCACTAACAGCCACTTGGTATTTATTTTTCATCTTTACTAGCCTAAAAGAGCTAAACAGTATTTCCAGATTTCTTTCATTATTCATGAGATTGACCATCTTTTCACGTGTTCATTGGCCATTTGTATTTTTTCCTCTGTTAAAGCATATGTTCCTATTTTAGGACATTTTTCTCTTGGGTTGTTCCTGATATTGACTTATAAGAACTCCTTGCATAAAAAGGAAATATACTCTTGCATGTATTGGAGATATTTTTCCTGCTTTTCTCTCTCTTTTTTTTTTTAAGAGGGAAGGGGGAGAGAGAAAGCACCTGTGAGGGCAGAGGGAGAGGGAGAATCTCAGACTCCCCACTGAGCGCGGAACCTGTCACAGATTCTATCCCAGACCCTGAGATCATGACCCGAGCAGAAATCAAGAGCCAGACGCTTAACTGAGCCACCCTGGTGCCCCCCTGCTTTGTTCTTTTAATTTTGCTTTGCAGTTTGTTTGGCTACCATAAAAAAAGCTTTAAAATCATATGTAATTATATTATCATTTTTTCCCTTCATGTGTTCAGGATGTGGAGCTGTTCTTAGGATATTCACCCATATTTTCTTTCAACATTTGTTTTACTTTTTATAATTAAATATTTGAACCAGCTGCTGAGGTATATTCAGGTGTAAGAAATAAGGGCTATTGGTTTTAAATAAATACTTTTCATCACCTGTTAAAGTGGCCATCTTGATTTTGGAGCTCAGTGACCGCAGCACCCACCAAGTGAGGGCTTTAGGTAAGGCACAGAAAAAAAATATTATGGGAGAGAGGAAGGGATTGTTCATTTGGTCACAGAAGGCTAAAATCATAGCGGGCTTACTGGGAGAACTGTCCGTTGAGACACCCTTTGATAGCATGGAGATGACAAGGAGGAAAAGAAAAGGTGTTCAAAAACGTAGTCCAGTTTGACTTGCCATGAGCTAGAATTTGGGGAAGCCAGGCTTGAGCGTGCGGTGGGGACCTGTGGAAGATTTTTTGAGCTGGGATGTGATTTGAGCAGAACTGTCCTTTAGGAAAATGAATCTGGTAGTGGTGTGGGAATGGATGGAAGTGAGGATGCAGGGATCAGTTAGAAGACTAAGGCTTTAGGTTGGGTTGGGTTGGGAGATGGTATGAAACAGTTCCAGTGAGAAGCAAGCAGGGAAGTCCACCACCCAGAACATATCACTGCAGTGTGGTTCAAGGCACATGAGAGATGTTTTGTCGGGTATTGAAAGCACAGCTGAAAAGCTAGGATCAGATAATACACAGAGCTCTGGAGAGGCCGCTGTAGGTGCAGTAGGCACTTGTCATAGGATTGGGTTTGGGGACAGGACCTGAAGAAGAGGAGCAAAAACATGACAATACTACAGTAACTCAGGTCCTGGATAAACCATTAAGAGGTTTAGACTCAAAGTTAGAGTCCAGCATCATTGGCTTGATGTTCCTCAGCAGGCATTAAGCCAGAGGTTGGAAAATTACCCTTCCCCTGGCCTCTTTAAGGAGAGAATTGATCCCAATGCAGGCAATGAGGCTTAGCCTGCAAGAGGGGTCACCTGGGGTGAGGTGAGTCTGAGCGGGATACAAGGAAGAAAATGAATGCACTCGGCCAGTCAAGGAAAGCAGTTTAATTGCCTCCCATGGGGAGTGACCAGCTTTTCCTTGGTTGTAGCTTTAAAAATGAGCCCTCAGTAATACTTCTGTTTATTCTTCTTCCCTCTGGTGGTGGTCATGACTTGTTTCCTGCATTCCCAAGTGCAGAGAAAATTCCTACGTACCTGCTAGATGATGGAAAATTTGCCTTTTAATTTTTAGGAACTACTTTTATTCTTCAATTTTTATATGGTTCAAATGAAATTTAACCTTTTTGTCCTTTTTAACCTTTAACACAGCTTTTCTGTGTTGAAACACTTCTTTACAGTGTTCGAGATAATCTTGATTGAGAAGCTGTTAGGGAATCGACAAGACAAGCCGTGGCCCATGTGATATTCAAAATGGCTTTATGGGTCTAAACTTGGAGGTTATATCCATCTGGAGACACACACGTGCACAACTTAACATTTTCTTCTTTCAGACATCAGGAAACCAGATCCACTCAGGAGAATTTGACCTTGAACTAAATAATGAAAAGGCTGTGGGGGATATGGCTCCAAGTGGCTGGAAATCTCGCATATTTAGGAATTCTACTCATAAAAGCCTTAGGAATTCACGGAAGTATAAGAATGGCCTTGATGTGGAAACCAAAGAACTCGTAAGTTGTTTTTCACTTAAATTAAATCTTTTATGGTAAAGTTTTGCTGTTGAAATTCTTACATTTGCAAATATATTGCAGACACGATTCCTACTCTGAATGATACCCTTCCTGGAAAAAAGGAAATTTCAACTTTTAAATGCAGTTGACAATGAATTAAAATCAATTCCAGTTAAAAGTGGATTTCTGGGGGTGGGGGAGGAATAGATCCAGAAACATAGTCTTTGTGATTAGATGTTTAAAGGTAGACATGCCATTCATCTTTGAGATCCAGAGATAAAGCTACAGTAAAAGGCCCTGATATTTGCATTCTGTTAGGAAGGATTACCTCTGATGGTCTATGCTGAAAAGCCAGAATAACATCAGTTTGAACAGATTAAGAGTTTTCATTTCTCTTTCACCTAAGAAAGCCTTAGTGGTAAGAACCCAAAGACTGGAGTGGTGGTGTCTCCACAGTTCCCTTGGATTCAGGCTCCTTTCATTCTTATCTTCACTATGCTTGCTTGTGACCTCCATCCTCAAGGATCTAAAAGGGCTCCTGAAGCTCCAGCCATAACATCCACAGTCCAAGCAGCAGGAAGAAACAAAGATGTTCCAGAAGTTCCAGACAATACTTTTACTTACATGTCACTGGCCATAACTTAATCCCATGGCCATACCTAGCTACAAGGGAAGGTAAAAAAAAATCTAATCTTTTTACTCTACGCATTGCCACTCTGAATTAGATTGGAATTCTCTTACTAAGAAGAAGGGCAGAATGTCCAAAAATAGCAAAATTGTATGTTCTTTAACACTTTCCATCTGAAGACTTGTGGTATCATTAATTCAAGTTAATAGAAACTTTTATCATCGTGAGGGAATCCATTCTAAGAAAAGGTATTTTCTTATTTCAAGAAATTGAAAATCCATTTGGATGTTACTTGATAAATGTGGTTTATTTTTACTCCTGTGTTGGCCTGAAGAAACTAATCCTGCTGAGAATTGATTGCTTCTGTTTTTCTCTGCCCACAATATTATTTACTGCAGAAATTACAAGGGCTCTCTTAGAGGTCTTAATCTTGGTATATTTATGGAAAGAAGAGTAATAGTTACACTATTTTGAAGTTACTTTATCTTAAGATAAAGAATTCCAACCTACTCCCCTTTTGGCCGTGGAAGTATCCACTTTTTATTTTCTCGTTTATCTTCAGAGCTATGCTGCTAAGTCTTTAGAGTCTGGCATTTGAGAGGACCACTTCTCTTGAAGAATTGCACAGAGAAGAGGGGGAGGCAGAAAATGCTACAATCAATAAGATTGTCCCAAGTACCATCAGAGGGGGTTTGACAACGTGCCCAAGGAGAGGGAGGAATTAAGCCTGATGAGAGGGACCTGGGGAGACCTGTTTGTGTGTGTTGAAGAGAGTAGTCTGAGGAAAACGCTCATTTATCAGGCTGGAGACTAGAACTTAAAGATAACGCTAACTAGGGAATAAAATAAAATGAAAGAAAAGAAACAAAAGAAATGAAAGAAAAGAAATAAAAAACAAGAAAAGAAAATACAAAGAAAAGAGAAGAGGAGAATATACAAAGAAAATGGGTGGCTTGAAAAAAAAGAGCTGAGAAGAACCTACCGCTATGTTCTCTGTTTCATAGAGACCCAAATGTGATCTCTGTAAATGACCGTAAAGCTATGGGATTCCATAGGCACTTTTTGTATCTAGTTTAATTCTAAAGGAGAATATTCTGACTATAGAGGTAGTTTATGTGACTTAAATCCTTCATGTTTGAGAAGGCACTGAGTTTGACATTTGCTGAGAATCTGGTATGTGCCAGGTATTGGGATAGTTTCTAGGGATATAAAGACATACACGCTTCACCTTTAAGAACAAAACTCATATTGGGCGCCTGCGTGGCTCAGTTGGTTAAGCAACTGCCTTCGGCTCAGGTCATGATCCTGGAGTCCCGGGATCGAGTCCCACATCAGGCTCCCTGCTCAGCCGGGGG